ATCTCTCTTGACTCTTCTCTCACTTTGTGTTCTACATGGAGAGAGTGTATCAGCTCGAACTGCTGCACATCTGTTGAAACCAGTCAGTAAGCCACCTACGAAATCGTAATCCTCCCGTAAAAAACCAGTTAGTTATCTTTCCAAGCTTCTCCTGTACATAAGCGTATGTTGTTTCAATTGTTATGTTAAACAATAGCATCACAAGGGATGAGAACGAACTAGAGACCTCGAGCCCTCGGTTGAATTACTATTGTTTCCAGTGAGAGGATCGATGACTACTTACTAGGAAAATATGGATAATAAGACAAATTAAAATAAATAATACCAACCCTAAATCTATCCCTAATCGTAACCCTAACATTGATCATGTGTTCACTCTTCGTCAGTTGTCGGAACACCAACACACGTATTGCAGGTCAACGACCGTTGTGTTTCTCGATATTAGGGCTGCCTTCAATTCGTTGGACAGAACTGTGCTCTGGAACTGTCTGTTAGAGAGAGGTGTAGCTGAGAAATTTGTTAACATCTTGAAAGACCTATACAGAAACACCTCGGGTAGAGTGAGGGCATACAACCAACTATCATCACTGTTCCCAACCAACAGTGGGGTTAGACAGGGTTGCCCAATCTCTCCATTTCTCTTTAACTTTGCCATCGATGACATTCTGGAGTCAGCTCTGAAGAATGTGCGTGAAGGTGGTGTAGATCTGCTACCTGGAGATGGACTTTTCGACCTGGAGTATGCAGACGATATCGTCTTACTGTGCGATACCATGCAGGCTGCCCAAATCGCACTTAATCAGTTGGCGATCAGTGTCTGTAAGTATGGTATGTGCTTCGCGCCGTCTAAGTGCAAAGTACTGTTACAAGATTGGCAGGAGCCTGTACCTGCACTCACTCTTGCGGGTGAACCGCTTGAAATTGTTGATAAGTTTGTGTACCTGGGTAGTTGTGTGAGTCTGTCTGTCTGTCTGTTTTCGACATAGAACTTTGCACATATGTGCGGAAGTTCAAGTCGCCACATTCCGTGTAGCACGCGAAGCAAGAGAAGAAAGTACAAGAAAAGCATAATAGAGACAGTGAGCAGAGGTGTGAGACAAAGGAGTAATAAAGAAATACAAAACAGTTTCATTGAAGATCATAAGTCACAGGGAGTGGATGCATCTGCGCCACTGAGAACGATTTTGAGCCATGTCACCAATTGTTTCCAACCATAGATTTTTACCGTCTCGAGGACCCCAACCTGGAAGTCTACACCTTCCTACGTGGCTTAGACCAACTGTTGTGGATTTCATTGACTGGTGAAGCCAAGTTTTTGTTTGACCGCCGCTAGCTTTTTCCAGCCTGACCCTATATCCGCTAACATTGCTCGTCGAGGGAGGCGATGGCTTGGCATACGTAACACATGTCCTAACCATCTCAGTCTTTGTAGCTTCACGACTTCGTCGATTGATTTCCCCTGTTTACCTAGAACTCTACGCCTAACCTCCATGTTGCTCACCTTATTATGTGTGTGAGTGCTGGCGGAGGGGTGACGGATGAGATTTCCAACCGTATAATGAAGGCTAGGGTGGCATACATCAACTTGAGCCACCTATGGCGCCGTCGCGACGTTAGCCTGGCTGTCAAAGGTCGGGTATACAATGCTTTGGTGCGGGCTGCGCTGCTCTACGCCTGTGAAACCTGGCCTCTCCGAGCTGTGAATGTGCGGCGACTCTGCGTGTTCGATCATCGCGGTCTCCGCAGGATTGCTTGCGTTCGATGGAATCATCGCGTGAGTAATTCTGAAGTTCGGCGGCGTATGTTTGAACACAGTGGAGATCACCATTCATTGAGTGTCGTCATCTGAAAACACCGGCTCTGGTGGCTTGGAAATGTCCTGCGAATGTCATCCCAGAAGCTTCCGTACAGGTGTCTGTTCGCTAGCCAGCCCTGGGACAAGATGGAAAAGGCGGAGACGTGGTCAGTCCATGACGTGGAGTCGTGGGATGAAAGATTTTCGTGCCAGATTAGCATCGGTTGGTGTGTCACGACTCCCTGGTTGGGGTCGCCAGGTAGCTCAAATCGATGGCTCGAAACGTTATCGGATATGACCAAGAATCGTAATCAATGGCGAACGTGTTGCAATTCCCCCCTTTCTTCCCTTCCCGATAATAGTTAACGAATACTGTTTGAACTTGTTAAGCATGACTGTTTTCCTTCCAGATAAATTTCTTTATCCGTTCTCTACTTATACTTTTTTTTTCTTTTTTTTCTTTTGATCTATGTTGTTTTATTATTGTTGTGTGGCGCATCTTTCTTAGTGCCATATTGTACCAAGTTTTTTTATGCGTTTAAATAAATAATAAAAATAAATAAATAAACCTAACCTTAGTCCTAACCCTAATTATAACCTTAATCCTAACCCCAACGAGCTAATTAACACAAAGTCCAAATAGTACTTAAAACGTGATCTGGGTGAAAGTTGCTCCTTAATTGGTGAATAGCGTTCACATTTCCGCTATGATAATGACAGACGTCGTCATCCAACGACTAGCATGCGCCCAAGGTCTTTGGAGTGATCTCACCCTCGGGACACTATTGTTTAACTTCGCTGTTTTGCTAACTCCAATGAATCCATCCACATACTCAATCTTTCTAAGATGCGTTCGGCAAATCGAGAACGTAAAGCCGCTAGTAACTCCACTTGTTTGTCGAAGGGATCACATGCATGATAGGGTGGTTTCTATAGTTTAACTTCGCCTCCAGTATGTCAGACGGAATTCTTTTCTCGTAATAAAACCCAAAATAACCTTTTATCTCCTAAAAATAATGAACTAAATGTAGATTAGCGAGCATTTTCTTCAGATATCAGAGTTAGGACTAAAAGTGAGACTTTAAACCAAGATGTTAATAAGATTCAATTTATGTTAGAGTTGAAATGTCAGGCTGAAACAGGTAAAGATTACTTACTAATCATTAAAAAATATACTTAATAAGTACAGCGATAAATAGAGTTAACAGAAAGAATATTATATTATATGTGAAAGTTCTCTTATTTAACGAAAAAAAAAACTGACAGGAATACGTTGCAACAATAAGAATCTAAATAATCTGCACTTAGCAAGCGACTTGTGTTCGATTTCATAAAAAAACTCAAAGATGATATACCGGCGAAAACCAACAAGTTGGCAGAAGAGGTAGGCAGACAAGGCCTCCAAAGCCTCAGGATGGTCGGGGTGGGTGCCTTGCGCTGCGGGTTGGCCACCCCTCCGCACACCTCTTGAAATGCTCCCATATGACCGGGCGTCTTACATAGCCTCTCCTGAGGAAGTCCTACTCACTGCCTTCACGTGGCGGAGGTGTTTCTCACCAAAGTGAGAGGGCGAAAGCGGATGCCCGGCGCTCTCCACCGGGTTGACTGTCCATTGGATGACGGTCTAGGGGAGATGGCTAAACCCTGATTCCAAACCTCCAACGACTGGCGTATGAAGCTCACTGGAGCTCACCGGCAGACGTATGGACAAAGGGCTTGTTGGATGTCCTGGATGTCTGGCCCCATTCAAAAAGGCGTATGAACCGAACTCCGGTCACCGGCTGCCAATGGATAGTGGACTCCTTACTCCACTCCTACTGCCTTGTAGGTCACACTTGGCTGTGTAAAGGCTAGAGCTGCACTCTCAAACAAAAGGCCGAGCGATGCTGGGGACATCACTCGTACCAAATTCCCATGAAACTTCATGAACTCTCTTACAAATTGCCGCGCCTGGGCAGCGATGATTCGAGACGTTCATGAAGCCGGCTCATCCTCCCGTAGGAGATAGCCGAAGTAAAGTAAAGTAAGTAAGTAGGCAGACAAGGCAACAGATTAATTGAGCTTAAAGAAGATGGAGGTGATGAAGATAACCAGCCAACTAAAATCAACAAGCACTAATCACCAGCGGTGGGATAAATCTAAGCGAGACCACTTCCTTCACCTACCTACACAGTATTGCTTCAACTACATGCAGAACTGATGAGGTGATGTCAAAACCAATAATAATCAAAAAGAATGATAAATTACCACGCTGAAATCAGTGGGGAGTCTTAATGAGCTAAGCTTAACGAAGATTCGGATCTTCAACATATATACGTCAAGTCAGTCAGTGTGCTTACATACGGTTCAGGGACTTGGTACACGCGTCACGAAAAGCATTTCGAACAGGCTACATTGCAGACTTTTGTCAACAGCTGCTACCTTTGCTGGCTTTATACCGCGGATCAGATTGCGGACTGACCAGAAAGAATTAACAACAAAGAACGCTAGGAACGAACCAATTAGGGACTGATTGCCCACAAAAAACGCCGAACAAAATAGTGACGGATAGGACACACACACTGAGAAGACAGCTCAGTAACATCAAACGCCGAGTATACCTTGAGTGGAGCCTATGTAAACAGTAAACGATGAGTTGGCCATGATCCGATATCATATGATCAGGCAATGAAAGTGTACGAGCTGTAGTTGAGCTCTCTGAAAGAATGATGTCACATAACACAGTACATTGCAGGCGAGTTATCGAAATGCGATGTTCCACCAGGTATCCAAGCGGCAATTAAAAACGGCAAATAATATTAATGCGAATATTAATATACACCTAATGATGGAACTTTACAGTGAATCCATGAGAATGGGAAATAAAAGTAAGAGACCCATTCTAATTTTAAGACTCTGAAGGCGCAACTAGTTTTGTGGAATACGATTCGGACTTCAAAGTGAGACCGAATACTGTGACTTCTCGTTAGAAAGTTGCTTCTATGAATTTAGCAAATAAGCCTATAATACTTTGAGAAAGCTATTAGCATTAAGTAGCGAAACGTCAGTAAAAACAATCTCGTTTTGTTTTTTCATTCATTGGGAAATACAAAAAACCTCTATTATAATGAAGCCTAATTTCTATTGAAACTCAATTGCAACATTACTACGCGTAAGTGGTATTTATATCTTGAAATATTCATAAATACCTTATAAGTGGACTCACCTGTAAATAGAACATCGCTTCCTTCAACTTGAGCATTTTCTGTGTTCAACTCAACAATTTTAATCCCAAGTTCTTTTTTCAGTGTGTGACGTATTAAATTGACTTCTCCTTGTCTATGACAACGATATGGATTGCACATCAGTGCTGTTCCGTTTATTATAACTGCTGTATCATCAACTTTTACACATTCAGGATGGCGTTCATCTGCTTCCATTTCCAAGACATCAACACCATTTTGCCTTAATGCTTCGACGAATTTCTCTCTCTCATTGCAAGCTTCTTCGTAGTTAAACTTTCCACCCTTTTTTAGAGTAATGTTTGAATCTGGTGACATTAAAAACTCCTCGAATGATCTTGGTATTTGACTGACTACTGCATACTCATATTGAAAAGCCATTTCAACTCAACGAACTGAGAGTGTACCGACACTTACAAATCCAGCGCTATCATCTACTTAAATGTCCAATATGCTGATAGCATTTTCCGATAGTTTCACATGTTGTTTGACAGTACATTGGCTATTCATTCTAGAAATAAAAATTTTGGTTTCGTTCTGAACTCATTCTCAGGCCGTAAGTATCCTGACAATGCACACCGATTTAGGTTTTTGAAAGAGGATAACAAGTTTCAAGTCTGCGTGAATTGTCTCTTGGTAAATATCTTAGGTGCGTCGGTGGCACAGGGGTTAGGACGCTAGCCGACCATTCGTATGATCCGGGGTTCGACCCCCGGACGATGCACTCCTTTACCTCGCTAAGCTAGAAATAATGCTGGTAGAGAGGAAAGGTTGGGCATGAGGCTAGCAACCCCATCCTGTGAAATTAAACATTGCTACAGAAATTTCAAGCCACTATCTTGAAGCCCTATGTTCCACTTGGAACGTGAAAGAAAGAAAAAATATCTTAGAACTCTGCGGGAAAACCAGTACTGCACGAAGATGTGTTTTCTCCTTCGTTTTTTAACTCTCATGCTATGCCCTATGAGATTTTATTTTATTTATTTTTGATTACAGCTTGATTCCACAACGTATTTTTGGTACAAGTGTGGAATCTTCAGCATGGATATCGGTAGCCCACATTTTGCAGGCCGACCATAGATATTAGGTGTGCGTCGGCAGGGATTCGAATCTCGGACCATGTGCATGGTTGCCGAGAATCCTAACCACTGTTCCACCGACGCAGAAAAGATAAGAAAGATCATATCCGTAGTCATTTCGTTATTTTTTGAACACTATATTGTCTCCTCTCTCCTTATCGTATGATTCAACGAGACATACACTTTTAAGCCCCTACTAACATGATAAATATTCGTACAACGAACCCTTTCTAGCATTTTTGGTCTCCCTTAGGACAAAGGCTGGTCTCATGGATGCAGTTTTATAATTTTGACCCCACCCGAAATGTATATGAAGTTTGGGTGGTTTCACTTGTACTTCTAATAAGGGACCTACGAAATGCGCATAGTGCTCAAAATTGCAAGCTGTCACAAAAGAGAGTTTGCCGCAGTCTTCAAGTTATGAATGAATATGACACCTTAATCGATGTGCGTCTGAAACGATGGAAGTAAAATTCCATCTATGTCATAAGTACTGACGCCTACGTTTCCAGTTTGTGTGATTGCGCACTTCACTGAGTTGATTGACAGCATACTTACTACTGACCGATCTAGCAGCTTGTTCATATCGCCCTGCAAAGTGAGCGAGTCGTCATTATCATAAGGCGGTCTGCTTATGTTTAGGTAACATCTACAGAGAACCACAAAGGATTCGATGAGCTTAAGTTAATAATTTATGCACAAGATAAGTGGTGGTGGGTCGACTGCTGTGCCTTGTAGCACTCAACTAGGTGCCGTCGGCCAATAAGGAGGTTTCTAACTGACCCTGACTCTATGTTTTGCCCATGATGAATTCATTGACCTAACTAAGCAGGCCACCCTTAAATGCATAAACAGTCTTATGTGAAGCGCTTCAACGAGAATTTCGCCTTAATCTATGAAAACAACGTCAGTGGACTTCCTGTTGTCAATGGACTTGACCCGACCTTCTGTTACTGCAAGCAGGTTTTCAGGCATTAGAGGATTCCTCGGAAATGTGCGCTGTGTACTGTGCGCAGAAGTGGTGTTGTTTTCCATATATACCATCACAGCTTTCATCGAGGACACCAGAGGCTTCAGTGCCCAGTTGAGCACTGTGATGACCTCGCGTATACGATTTTCTGTCATGCCACAGTAGTCTTTGCGCAATCACTGTGCAGGGACTTTGTAGCAACGCTTGTATGCTGCAGAGGCTAGGCTGGGGCATATGCTTTTGTGTGGTTGTCATACTGGTTATCCTCTATTAGACAAGAATACATCAGCCTCCCACAATGATGCTTTGTTTTCGGCGTGCTTTTGGAGGGTAAATGTGGTAATAAAATGTGACAATTATTATCTAAAGATGTGAAAATTGGAGTATCAGTGTTGCAAACACCAGATTTTTATGAACTTACAGGCACTAGAATACCGAAATGTCAACCAGGCAGGCCTCCTAGATGGTTTCAGAAAAGTTAACTTGAATAGTGACACAAGTTAAAGCTGAAATAGGGTTTCGTAGACGATCAAATATGTTCACCAAATCAGTCAAACCCTGAAAGATAAGTTTGTTCATTCAGATTTCAGATTTATTGGTTGAGGATAGAAGGCTTGGAGCTTATGTTAATCCTTTTCTAGTAAATTTCTGTGGTTGTCCAAACCCTTCTTGAACGAATCAGTTGAGGTTGCAGACACCACTTCTTCTGGGAGTCGGTTCCAAGAGTTTATGACTCGGTGTGAGAACCAGTACTCAACAGCAATATGATTTTTTCTTGGCTTTTGAACTCTCCTGCTATGTCCTCTAAAGTGTTCCGACCTGGGGGGAAGGAAAAGAGAGAATAGGTCAGGTCCGTAGTCATTATTTAAAATTTTAAACATCGCGATTAAACCTCCTCTCTGCCTACGGTATGACGGGGAGAGGAGGCTAAAACTGTCTAGTCTTTCCTCGTATGATAAATTAGTCATGCCGAGAACCATACGTGTTGCCTCCCCTTGAACCCTTTCTAGAATGTGTGAGTCCCCTTTTAGACAAGGACTGGCGGCCTGGATATAGTTTTCCAGTCTTGACCTCACCAGAGGTGTATATAAGGAGATGAACATACCTCTGGTGATTCTAGTAAATGCTCTGCGAATTGCCCATAAGGACCTGAAACTGCGTGCAGCCACCGTGCGACAGTGTGCTAAAGTTTTGAAGTCTTGGCTAACTATAACACCTAAGTCCAAGTGAGACTGAACTGACCAAAGTGTTATTCCCTCTAGTTCGTAGGAGATCGTGCTTGCTTGTCCAATGCACATTGTTGCACATTTTGCCACATTTATCGGGAGCATCCATTCTATGGACCACTCTGACAATTTGTTGAGGTGCTCTCGCAACGTGAGCATATCACTGTCGCCCTTCAGCTCCCTCCAAATTTTTAAGTCATCTGCGTATAGGACCATAGAGGGGTCGGTGAGCAGAGATAACTCATCGATAAACGAAATAAATAGGAGAGGTCCGATTACCGTGCCTTGTGGCACTCCGCTACGTACTGCTGTCCAAGAGGAGAATTTCGAGTTGATCCTAACCCTCTGTCTCCGATCTATGAGGAATTCCCTGAGCCAATTTAGTAATCTGCCTTTGATAACAAGACTTTCCAACTTCATGAATGGTCCATCCCTTTTTTCCTTCACGACCAATACACGTTGACTTGGATGCCATTGCGAGAACCTGGGTCACACGGACAGAGCTGAAATGGAAAACAAACAGAAAAGCCAACACACCACAAGCATACTCACAGCACAATCTCACACATCAATGACGACCTGCGCCTCCAGACAGAGACCTCCTCTTGACATCTTGCAACACAATCGCCGCTTGCTAGAATGACTCTTGCAGAATGCAATGTGACCATAGCACCACCTCACGATACTCTACGCACATCCTAATCTACTCACTACCAATTACCACTGAAATCGCTTGTCACTCATTCTGCCTCAGTTCTAGTAACGGTGACGCATGCGAGCCTCAGTCGTTTACACTCTTTCTCCCCGGCGTGTCGGACCGCAGCTAACAATTATCTCCGTGTGCATTTCATTCTCAGCAATAGCCTAGCCTCCCCGGCGTATACGACCCATCTGCTGTCCTTAACATCAATCAATTCATTCACGGATGTAGAAGACTCGAAACAACTTCAGAAGTAATCACGACGAAAATTTTAACAAAATTACGCAATAACAACAAGATACGAAAACAACAAGTAAACACAATGAATCCAAAATACACCAATTGCTATGACACACCACACGTATATACAAATAGTACAAACAACCTCGCCGATCATGTCTTGGTGGAATTCCTTTGAAGAATTGCAGGACTTACACCAGTACGCCTACAACCCTTCACAGGTTGACGATTGTAAGTTGTGGAATGTCCGGACACAAACAAGATTAACCAACAATTACAATAATTGGAACTCACACAACTATTTAACACAAACATATGTACAATCAACACATCAAATGTTGTGGATTCTGGCACGGCAAACTACCCTTGAAGAACTGTAGGACTTACAGCAGTACGCCTACATTCCTTCTCAGGTTGATGATCCAAGTGGAAGTCGTCCGGACACAAACAGAATTACCAACAGCTAGATGACAGATGATATCAATTCAGTATATACAATATGAACATATGTACAAAATCACACACCGAGCACATTGGACTGCTCATTGATGCGCTACCCTTTGAAGAATTGTAGGACTTACAGCAGTACGCCTACAACCCTTCTCAGGTTGACGCTCTAGGTTGGAAAATCGTCGCAGAGTTCATTTGCTAACTTCCTTCTATCAGCTATATCCTCAAATCTGAACGGCAACACGCCCATGTCATTGTATCGTAGAATATAGATGACCAACAAACACACGACATATCTCATCAACCAAGTATAGAAACAGAGTAATTTACACCAAAGATAATAACATTCAATTAGTAACTTGAAACTAGAAATGCCTTTATTCGTGCAAGTCAATTTAACAATTACTCTCTCGTTTACACTTGGCTTATCCTCACTAAACTGACCATTGATATTCGTCCTTTCAAACGAACTGATACTATCATAGTCATTGCACAAGATACTTGAGTTGATGGGCGTCTTTTTCATTGTGGATGACAGCACCAACGACGACTGATTGATATCAGTTGATGAAGTTAGCGGTGGATCAGAAGCTGTTGTTGCTCGGCTTTCAGAAGTTTGTCTACCTATAAGACCACCACCACTGTTGTCTTTTACTATCAGCTCAGGTTTAGCACTAGCATCTGATGATAGGTGGGCTACATGCTGATCAATCACA